CTATCTGATTTGGGGACCCTCCAATTGGACTTTATTCTCTGGGCTGTTCGATTTGGGCTGAATTTTTATGTGTCAACAATTATATACACACCTTTTCTTATGAAATTAACAAAAACAAGAAATTGATGCGCCGAAAAGTGTCAATTGTTAGTGCATCTTGATTATCGTTTTTTCAAATGTAATCAAGATCCTTATGCCTCTTTATTCTCTTGGTTGACATTACAAATATTGTCCCCCACAATAATTAAAGTATCGCAAAAGGCCAAAACAACATTATAGCTTATTGAAATGTATTAAAGAAAATTAATTACGTAGTACAAATTTCTCATGTTAGTGGTTTCTTTAGAAAAGAAAAAAATGTGTTAACTTATATATTACACATTCATTTTGGGCTCAAAGATGGGACAGCCTCAAGTTGTCTAGGCTTTTTCTTAGGTCATATGATGGTATGGACCATTCTTTATATGCCAATTGATTAACAAAGTCATGCCTAGTACTTATACGGACCACTCCATGCTCAACATAAATCAACTAGACAAATTATTATAATCATAGTGAAAGAGAGTGGAGTTAGGAAATGTAACTCTAAATCTAATCTTTCCTTTATTTAATTTGGTATACCAATGTCTTAGATGTTTGGCTAGAATACGATATTAGAAATCACAAACTAATAAAGGTAATTAAGAGAAAAAAGGCAGAAAAGAAGAATGAGAATTTTTATTTTTATTTTGTAAATTGAAAAGAAAATGACCATATTTAAAATAAGGTTACAAAATGTTTGGAAAAAGTGTGAATAAATCCCGTAATGATTTAATTTGAGGTACGTGATGGACTCATAAGGAGTCGTGCTATACAACGTGTAATAATATCACATCTCGCATGAATTTTTGTGTTTGCACCACTATTTATTTAGAATAATGGTGTACACCGTGAGCACCTTTCCATGTAAGGGGAGTATAAAATTATGTGTAAACGATTATGTACATGTAGTATTGTCCATTTATTCAAGACTTTGAGGATAAATTAACTATCCGGACATGGAGGACAACATTATGTGGCAATGGACGGGGAGTCCAGAAATTCATGCATCAATTTAATTCACCTCGGAAGCCTTCATCGACGCTTCGTCGGGCCATTTTCCCAACACCTAGGAAGTTAGTGATTAAGGAGGTGGCGTTTGTTACTTTATCACGTTGAAAAGTACTAGGAGGTAGACTCGTAACAGTTTCTTATAAGAAGGCATAAATTCAAAAAGCATGCAGTCCAAAGGCAAAAGAGCCTCCAATCTAATTTTAGTGGCCAGATCTTGCTGCCTAGTCCAACGTTCGAAAGGTCCCACTAGGATTCCACTTGTCAGAATTTACTTTGTCCTCATCACTTGCCACGTGGAAGGAAGTGCTAATTTGTACCCCCAAATTTTTTACCCTATTTGATTTTCATTCTTTGACGACAAAAATAAAAAATATGATCGTTGTCCATCATATCAAATTATCATATATAACTTTCTATTTCTTCTGTGAATTTCATAACGACTAAATTTTTCATTCTTATTCTTACAAAAAGGAATACCAAACGGGGCCTTAATTCCTCTAGTCCGTGAAAATTCTCATTAAGCCTAGTATTGAATCGTTGTAACTCCGTTAAGTCCACCGTGAAAGTCTTTATTACTGGGCCCAACTCCAATCCAAGAAAGCAGAGACAATGACACATCTATTTCAGGTCCTTTAATTTTCTCTGTGATTCTTCAAATTAACTCCCATTTTCTCTCCTTTATATTGCATTCAATGAGCCTCGAAGACTAATCTAAAAGTCACGAGAAGCTCGTTTCAGTTCCCATTTTCTTGTTCAGATCCAATCCTGTATCTGATATTTCTTTCCCCTCTCCACCGCACTCTCGATCACCGGAATTCAAGAACAGCGCTCACCTTTTTCAAATAGTTGAGAAGCAGGTAATTCATTTTGACCGTGTTAATTGTGTAGTATTAGATAGTTTTAAACAATTTAACTTTATAAATTGTCGCGTGTAGTTCATTCCAGACTCTAATCTATTAAATTTGCACTTTATTTCTAAATTTCGACCTTTTTTTTAAGTATGATCAAATGCATAGAGATTTACTCTCCGCCCACTCGAAGTATTTGATTTAGGCGCATTTCATCTGAGATTTTGGTATATGTAAGAGATCACTGTGAAATACATGTAATATCATCCGTGTTTTTGCATGCGATCAAGATCACGACATATATGAACACAGTCAGTATGAACTTCTCTATCAACATTGTTTTGAACGAATAATTATAATAATTAATGAAGAAAATCTTACATTCTAGAATGCCTGCAGTTTTAAGTTTCTATTTATTTACTTATATTATAAAGTGATCTATAATTTGTCATATTAAGGAACTTGGTCAGAAGAGAACTAAGGCAAGAATGCCACAAGAAAACAACTCAAATCCACTGTTCAACAGTCCCAGCAAGAGCCTGAGGGGATTGAAGGGATTGGTCTGCAACAATAATGAAGCTTCTTATGTTGAAGAGATCATCGATGATCGCGAATTAGCACAGAGAAAAGCCGACGAAGCAGGTAATAATCTAACAAACTCCATAATAAAAATCGATACTCTGAAGTCAAAAGTTGTAGTTAAGTTTGGTGCATCAACCGTCCAGATTTGGCGTTCAACAGCTAGAAGGTTAAAAGTTAGAAAACTCCCCCTGGAGGTGCTGGTACTCGATTAGTTGGGTCCATTAATGGACATAATTAAAGAATCGTGGACATCATTGTTTGAAATTCACTCTTAATTATTCCATTTGGCACCGCTCATAAAGAATCGTGGACATCATCGTTAGTGACATGCATAATTACCCTTCTTATATTGGGATGCTTTTGCTTTAACTTTATATAAACTACGTATACTGTGTTCCCATATAATAGATCAGTTTCAGTTTCACTGTCAACTTTGGCTCCTACATCTGGAATTAAAATAAATTCGGGTGTTTCATTTTTCAAAAAATATATATATTTTTTCCATATTTACACATGAATCCAGTTTTTTTTCATAATTTTAACTTCACATTCTGTAAAAATCAATTTTAAAAAAAATGGAGCTCAAAGAAGGGTTCAATATTTTGTCTAGTTCGATACTCTAATCAAAACTCGTGTATATTTTGCATTTCACAGTAAACAATTGTTGTAAAAGATGCTTAGTTCCTGTTTGGTTCAGATTTTTTAAAATTCATTTTTTTGAAAACTAATTTTCACCACATATTTTTTTAATAAAATAATTTTGTATGTAGTTTCATAACTTTTTCTTACTTTCGAACAACACATACCCCAAAAATCATACTTTTCACAATATCCATGTTCAAGAAATGTACATTAAATAAGCATCAAATCGCAAGTCAATCCTCCACTTTTATGACGTGAAAAAAGAGGGTGGGAGACTCCCCATTCTCCGTTTGCTAATCTCTCAAAAAATATAACTCTATATAGCAATATACAATTCGAAACATAGGTATATTTAGATGTATCATAGCACTACTCTATCATCATTTCCTCTATTTATAAGCGATCTCACTTAAAAGACTGCTTATAACTTCTTCCGTCAATCTTTTATGGACAAATCATTATTGATATTCAACGAGCAAAACTCAATATTGATAATTATCAAGTTCTTTCACCATCCTATTCTCAAGTTTTTAGTGGTATTGACATAGGTAAACATTACGTAACATTAAATGATAAATTCACATAGGGATGTCAAATGGGTCGAGCCGGCTTGCGGCTTGTCAAAGCTCGGGTCGTGGGCTGCTCGGGCTCGTCAAATGACAAGCTCGAGCCGAGCGAGGGATCGATTCCAACGAGCCAGCCCGCTTGACGAGCGACTCGTGGGCCGAGCTCAGGAGCTGAGCCCACGAGCTGGCTCGTCCAAAAAAGTGGAAAAAATTAAAATTTTATCAATAAAAATTGAAAAATTTGCAAAAAAA